TTGACTGCTGGGACTGAAAAATATGGTGGGTGGAGATGTACAGTAAGAAACCACAAGAAAACGAAAAGCATACAACTTATATGAGCTGCTTCACTCAGTTTCTATTGTTTTATTAGATGGAGCTTCACTTGGATCATAAAAAAACAAAGTGTAGTGAAAAAAAATGAGGCATACCATTTATATTTGTTCAAATTGATATGACTGTGATTATGACTAAATATAATTGGTATAGGAAGTATCTTACGAGCGCTATGTGTTGCAAGTTTGGCTCAGTGTGATGTATGCTTTTGTCGGGGTTCGTCTCCCATCAAATAGAGTAAAAAGGGAAAAATGAGTTAAATAATAGTTCAATATGTTAAAATGTGACGAAAGATAGACCACTACCTACATTACTTTTATCTTGTTCTCGTTTTTTTGTGTTTCCATACAACTTATCTAGTGGTACTCTCTGACCTGCATGAATCCTGATCTGACTTGTGACTTTTGTTATATTAACCTCTTTTCTGCATGTCTGCATTCTACAGCTATAGGTAGTTGATTTAATCTTGGCTTTGTTACCCCTCTCACCTGATTATATTTTCCTTTGAATCACAGTTTCATATGTCCATCGAGTATCGTGGTAATTGGGGGGTCCTAGTCCCGGAGACTCTGTTACCCAAGTTCTTTGGTGTATCTAGTGTTGGTTTTGCTAGTCTGCGAGTTTCCATTTTCTTTTCTGTGTTTCTATTGTTTTTCCTGCTATTTGTTGATGGAATATATTATGTATCAGTGGCATACAAGTTATCCAAAAGGAAGACTGATGACACTCTCAAAATGCTACACAATATTCTCTTTGGACGACGAGGAAAGGTGATGTGTTGATTTATAGCTTATTGCTGTTGATTGGTTTCTCTTTATTTTATCGTTTTCTGCTTAGCAGTGGTGTTCTTGTTGACATGCTGGATTATGTGCCTTGCATTCCCACTTCCTGATAAAGGAAGGGTGTCTTGGTGTTGCTATTGATTTCTTTTCTATTAGTACCTCAGCAGGTATTTGAGAGAAGGAGGAAGCTATGATCTCCCTGATGTGTGTTTTGTGTCCATTTTAGGGTCAACATATGTAGTCCTGAGCTATATGTATATTTATACTTAAATATGTAAAATCTATATATTTTTACTGATTATTTAGTAAATTAGATTACCCAAAAGTATTGGACTGTAATTATCTTTAAAAATTATCAAATGGTGTGCCACTTTAGACAATCATGTCTAATTTCCAATTTTGGTTGGAATTAACTCGTATGGCTCGTTTGGTACAACTTTGTATTACTAATGTAATGTGCTGTTTTCAGTTATTCATATTGGATCGCATCCTTCCCAAGTCCCGACTCATGGAATTAAGAAACATCTTCAAGAATGCTTAAAGACTACGCTACTTTCTCTCTATTTCTTCTTCACTCTCTCTGTTGATACTTTGTGTTTATACTTCTTGTCCTTTGCAGGCAGTTCAGTTCAAGAGTAATATTTCACAGTTTTCCGGCTTTGTTTGGCATGAAAACGAGGTAATTAACGAGTCTCATTTTTAAGAGAGAGAACTCTTCCTTTTTTGGTTTATGCCAAGTTGGGGTATGGCAGGTTGGGATAGAGAAGATTTGAATAAATAAAATTTCTCATTGGCCATTGGTTTCTCATGCGAGGCTGTCTATATATCTTGTTCATTGTCTAATTGTTGGGATCTTAATCTGATTGGAGTAATTTTCGTTTATAATGATCTGAAAATTCTTGAGCTCAGAGCTTTAGACTAAACTTTTTTTGCAGGAAAAACAAAAGATGAAAGTAAAAGAAAAGCTTGAGAAGTGTGTCAAAGAGAAGCTGTTCGAATTATGTGATGTACTAGATATACCTGTTGACAAGGAAACATCAAGAAAGGTGTGTTCATATATTATCACAGTATATTAAGTTTTATATCCATTAGTTATTTCTTCCGTCTGTTCGTAACTTATCTTAAAAGATTCTCAACTAATTCTATGTTATATATTTCAGAGAGATTTAGAATCACAGTTGATGGATTTTTTATATGCTCCTCATCCTACGACATCTGAGTTACTTGCTGAAAAGGAACAGGTTGGTTGCACGACATTTTGATTGCAATGAAATATTTGTGACTTCTTCCAGTTGTACAGCATGCTTATTCACCCCTGGTGCATCATTGAACAGTCAACTAAAGGAAAGAAGAAAAAGAGTCCTTCATCAACAATCGGTGATTTGGAAGGTTCAACTAAGGTATCACTCTTTCTTATTAACATTTAAAACTTGACTTGATTGCTAGACACCTTTTGAATGTGTTAGCCATGGACTAGTGAAATTGTTCTAACCTGTTTGAACTTGCTATATTTGAGACACAACCTTCCATTTACTGCACTGAGGTTTACACCCTTGAGATTTTAGACGTGAACCTTAAATGGTGTATTGAGCTTTTCGCATTTGAGGTTGTTTCATTCTTCCAAATTTTGAATAGACAACAACATACCATGTATAGTCCCACAAGTGGGGTCTGGGATGGTAGAGTTAAAAACCTTACCCCTCCTACCTTGACAGGTACGGAGGTTGTTTCCTATAGACCCCGGCTCAAGGAATCAAATTTTAAACAGAAACCAGAGAAAATCTAGAAGAAAAAAGGACTCACAAACCATGTAATTTTTGTGGGGACTTCTCCTATCATAATCTCTGTGTCTGGTATGTTCTGCAGAGTCACAAGAAGAAGAAAGCGCGTGAACCAAAAGACGACCAGGAGGAGGGACCTGAAGTGATGAAGGCTAATGATGAGAGATCAGATGATGAGATGTCAAAACGAACTAAAACTGAGGAGAAAGACGGTAAATCTGAAGAAGGATCCAAGAAGGACAAGAAGAAGCATAAGCGAAGCTCAAATAAATCATCCTCAAAGAAGGAAGCTGGAGAAGTTAAAACCAAGAAAACTCCTTCAAATTCATCAAAAAGCTCAAAGAAAAATGATAACAACGATGCAAATTCAGAAGTGCATTCAAAGAAGAAAACTACTGAAGTAGTTAAGGGAAATTCATCTACACCAAAAAAACCTAGTTCAAAAGACAAAACTGGTGAGAATCATTGTTTACTCCCATTTGTGTGTACTCTCGAAAACTGGTGAGAATCATTGTTTACTCCCATTTGTGTGTACTCTCAAAAATTCTCGTCAAGATGATCAAAGATTTGTGTATGAGAATCTTGATAAGTTTATCTGTTATGTGTGTTGTGTATCCATCTGAAATTGTTCTTTGTTTATGTATCCATTTGTTTGCTTAAATCCTTTCTTTATTAGCTTATCTAATTGTGCAGGGAAAAAAGATCCGAATGGGAAGGGCCATAAGAAAGCGAATAAATTGAAGCCAAGTGATGATGAACTCAGAAGTGCAATTTGTGAAGTTCTAAAAGAAGTTGACTTTAATACGGTGAGGAAAGAACTTTGAGTTCTATACTTTTATCGCGCTTCTGTTTCCCTCCTTAATAGTAGATCTCTATTGTCAAATTCCCTGTTTAGATGTTCCATGCTAGTTTAAAATAAGTTGTTTTTCCCATCTGCCTAGCTTTGGTGGGTAGAGTGACTCTATATCAATGGTGAGAGGTAGTAGGTACCCAATGAATAGCCGAACCACATTTTGGTGCTCTCCGTCCTTTCAAGATGGTGCTCTCCGTCCTTAACATTTTGGTGATCATAGTTCCCAGAATAGGTTGATATTCCAAAATTTATTCCTATGTGGCTAACATCATTTGTTTATGCTGCAGGCCACCTTTACCGACATTGTGCAAATGCTTGGTAAGTGTCCTGTAAAAACAGTTCTCCTGTTCTTTTAGACTTAGTCATACAAAGTACGCAGTTTTGACTAAGTTGAAAGTTTAAAAACTTGATATTACATCCTCCAGGAGGCCATGGTAATACAATTCTGGAAATCCAACTGATTAGTTTGTCTTTTTTTCCAGCCAAGCGGTATGATACCGATCTTACACTCAGAAAGACATCTGTTAAGAATATGATCCAGGATGAGCTCACTAGGCTAGTCGATGAGGCTGATGAAGAGGACAAGGACGAGCAAGAAAATACTGAAGATGAAAAACAGCCTTCTGTCCAAGGTGTAGAGGCTTGAAAGCATTGAACATACCAAGGAAAGGTAGCCTATATCGTCTCTCCGTTGATGTCTAAATACTGTTCCATAATGATCTCGAACTGGTGTAGTTTATTGATAGTGTTTTCACCTTCTTGTTCAACTCACTGGCTAAAAAGTCATGGAACTAGAAATGCCAGTTTTTTAATGCTGGATTGCAGCTTACTGTGTAAACAGCATTTGTAGTCATTTTTTTCTTCTTCAAAGCACCTAATCTTTTCATGTATTATAAAGGGATCGTTGTGTTTTCAACCTATTTATAACTAAATAAATGTATTATTCCTAACAATTGATAAAATAAACAACACCAACATAAATAATCACAATATTACTAATACACTTTATTCAATACTCTTCTTATACGCTTTATCAAACAATCCCTAAATGCTAGTGTTATAAGTAATATTATAAAGGGTTGTCGTTTTCCAAACCATGTATAACTATGTATAACTAATACATGTATTATTCCTAACAATCAATAAAAGAACAACACCAATATAAATAATCACAATGTTACTAATACACTTTATTCAATACTCAATCAATAAAAGAACAACACCAATATAAATAATCACAATATTACTAATACACTTTATTCAATACTCTTTCTTATACGCTCACTAAATGCTAGTGTAATAAGTGACACAATATATATATATATATATAAGCCTACATGTATGTAATTTAATTGGATCTAAAATTTAAGAGAAACAAAAATATTGGATGAATAATTTAGGAAATCAAATTTATTTAGAATTTGTAAATTAATTTATACCATATTTGGTTAAAACTTGGGTAGCAAAACAATAAAAACCCGACCCGTTGAAGTCGGCCCTATTTTAAAATCCGGAAAGTGCAGTCCGTAATCGTAACCCTAATTTCATCCTCTCGTTTTTTTGTTTCCTTTATCCGGCGACCGGCGATCGGAGAGTTTCTCGTCGTTTTTTTTTTCTATATCAAGTTGTTCAGCATGGATGATTATCAGGAGATGGAGAGGTTTGGTATGGAGAACGATTTTGAAGATGGACAGTGGATCGGTGGTGAATTCTACTATCGGAAACGGAAAGAGAAGAAGCAAGTCCAAACCAAGGATGATACGCTCTATGGTGTTTTTGCTTCTGGTGATAGTGATTCTGACTATGAAGGATCATCTTCTAAGAAGCGAAAAAAAGGTTTTTCATCGAAACCTGACCTAACCAAACCTGTTAATTTCGTATCAACTGGAATTGTTATGCCTAACAAAGAAATTGATCAGAATTCCAAAGAGGAGAATGAGGAGCAGCTAATGCCAGAAGAAGAGAATAGAGGTTTAGGATTGGGATTTGGGGCAGCATCTGCTGGGGGCCTTGGATTTGGTACTGGTAGCAGTTCGAATAATAATAATAGTAATGCTGATGAGGTTGAAGCTGATGGAGGAAACTTTCTGCCCACTGCTTTTGGTAGGAAGATCAAAGAAGGTGCTCTAAGACGTGAGAAGGAAAGGGAAAAGGAGAAATCTATGTTGGCGAAGAAATCTTCGGCGTCTGAATCAGGGAGAAGGGAAACTGGTGGTGATGTTGGTGGCTTTGAGAAGTTTACCAAAGGAATAGGGATGAAGTTGCTTGAGAAGATGGGTTATAAGGGAGGTGGGTTGGGTAAAAATGAGCAAGGAATTGTGGCTCCGATTGAGGCGAAGCTGAGACCTAAGAATATGGGAATGGGATTTAATGACTACAAGGAGACTAGTAGTGCACCAGCTCTTCAAGAATCAGATGGAAAGCAGACTGTTGCTCGTCCTGCTATACTACCTGTGGAAGGTCGATCAAAAGAGAAGCTTTGGTCAAAGCAAGCTAAAAAAGTGAAGAAGGTTTATGTTACAGCTGAAGAGTTGTTAGCCAAAAAGCAGGAGCAAGGCCTGGAAACTGTTCAGAAGGTGTTTGATATGAGAGGTCCACAGGTTCGAGTCTTGACGAATCTGGAGAACTTGAACGCAGAAGAAAAAGCAAGGGAGAATGATGTTCCTATGCCTGAACTTCAGCATAATATCAGGTTGATTGTGGACTTGGCAGAACTTGACATACAAAAGATTGATAGTGATTTGAGAAATGAGATGGAGACAGTTGTTGCTTTGCAAAAGGAGAAGGAGAAGCTCCAAGCTGAGGCAGCTCGTCAAAAAAGGCAGTTTGATAATATGGAAGAGATTGTAGGTATATTGGACCGGATAGGGGAAGAGAGCACATCTGGTACCCTGACGCTAGACTCCCTTGCAAAAGCATTTGCAGACTTGCAGCAGCAGTATGTTGAGGAATACACACTCTGCAACTTGTCAAGCATAGCGTGCTCATACGCTCTGCCTTTGTTCATTCGAATTTTTCAGGGATGGGATCCACTTCAAACTCCAACACATGGACTGGAGGTGGTTTCACTGTGGAAGGATCTTTTGCAAGGTAATGATATTTTTGCTATCTCTGATGCTGCATCTCCTTATACTCAACTATTTATGGAAGTTGTGTTCCCTGCTGTTAGAATATCTGGCACCAATACCTGGCAGGCTAGGGACCCTGAACCAATGCTTCGTTTTTTGGATTCTTGGGAGAAGCTATTGCCTTCTTCAGTTCTTCAGTCAATACTGGAAACCATTATTTTGCCCAAGTTATCAGCTGCTGTGAACTCCTGGGATCCACGTCGAGAAACAGTTCCAATACATTCCTGGGTTCATCCATGGTTGCCCTTATTGGGTCAAAGATTGGAAAGTTGCTACCACACTATTCGTAGTAGATTCGAAAGTGTACTGCATGCTTGGCACCCAAGTGATATGTCTGCATACTACATACTGTCTCCTTGGAAGACTGTTTTTGATGCAACGAACTGGGAAAAACTAATGGTCCGGTTTATAGTTCCAAAGTTGTTAGCAGTGATGCATGAATTCCAAATAAATCCAGCAAATCAGAACCTTGATCAGTTCTATTGGGTCCGTACTTGGGCTACTGCTATTCCCATCCATCACATGCTTCCAATACTGGATATATTCTTTAACAAGTGGCAAGAAGTTTTGTACCACTGGTTATGCTCAAATCCGAACTTTGAAGAAGTCACGAAATGGTATTTGGGTTGGAAGGAACTTATTCCACCTGAACTTCAGGCAAATGAACACATTCGCTATCGACTGAATCTTGCTCTAGAAATGATGAACCGGACTGTTGAAGGCTTGGAGGTCGTTCAGCCTGGTTTGAGGGAGAACATAAGTTATCTTAGGGTTCTTGAACAAAGGCAATTTGAGACTCAGAAAAAAGCAGCAGTACAAGCTCAATCCCGCCCTTCTGTGGGCTCAAACAGTGGTATCCAAATGGATGGTGGGGTTGACATGAGCATGAAAGAAGTTATAGAAGTTCATGCTCAAGAGAATGGTTTGCTGTTCAAGCCTAAGCCTGGCAGGATGCAAGATGGTCATCAGATATATGGTTTTGGTAACATTAGTATTATTATAGATTCTCTCAATCAGAAGGTATTTGCACAAGTTGAGGACAGGTGGTCTTTTGTGTCACTTGAGCAACTGTTGGACCTGCATAATCGATCTGGGTCAAAGCGTCGATAGATGTCTTAAGTTCTTACATGTTGTGTATGTAAGCAACTCCAGCCTCTGATAGATGTCTTCATGGATATTTCTGCAGTGGATCTCTTAGTATGCCATAGTAAGTCATGAGAATGTTAAACACATCTTTTCACTAGTGGCATTTTATCTGCTCCTTTAATGACCTTACACCCTACTTCGGCATCCAGGCAAAATCACTATAAATGAGGGAGATGTGAGTGCCAATCTTTCTAACTCAGATACCAGTCCTTTAAAAGTTTTGCTTAGATGTTGTATTGTAATTGTTTGTGATTTTCTTTATAAGAAGTATTAAATGTTCCATAAACTTTGTAACTGTTTCATAGATTTGTTATGATTGGCCTTCTAGATTAGGACTCTAATCTGTTATATTTTGTGGATATATGTAAAGGAATTGCCTTGTTCTCAGAACTCCAAATTACTCAAGTTTCCTAAGAACTATAGGAGAAGATAACAAGATGGTAATGGTTCTAAGACAGGATTGATAGAACTATTCTACCAAAAGCATCAATGAAGAGTGGAATCATGAACTTTTACATCATATTAGTGATTGGTGGCAATGCTCCTTTCAAAAGGAACACTGAAAGAAAAACAGCAATTACGCGAGAAAATGTTCAATGGACATGGCAATTCCTCAGTTCATCTAGCTTTCCTAGTTTATGTAATTCTATACTATTCAAGTGCAATAGGTCAGCTGATTAATCTGTAGTCAGATGGGGGGCCTTCCCCTTAGATTTTGACTGTGATTTGGCCTGTGTACCTGATGATCTTCTCTTGTCCTGTTCATCATCATGTTCACTTATTTCGGTCCCTGTGCCTATGACGATCAGCATTATCATCCCTATGAGGCCTCTCAGGGTCATGGCCTCTAGAGCTTCCAACATCTCTATCGTCTTGGCTTCTCCCTTCTTGCCAATCATGATCACGCCCTGAAGGTTCTCTGTCGTCTATACTTGAAGAATCAGGCCTATCATTTTCTCTGTTGCTAGGCCCAGGGCCCCTATCACGGCTTTCTTCTCCATACTGATTATCAGATTCTGCCGCATTACTTGACTCTCCTGCCCAGTAGCCATGCTCATATCCAGTCCATCTGACCATATTAGGTCCCTCCATACCAGCACGAGGCATCATTCGTATACTATTCATGGGCATTCCTCTCATAAAATGTGCAGGTCGAAATGGAGACAACCTAGGTGGAAAAGGTACAATTTGACCACCAGAGAATCCTCCATAACCACCTATTCTCCTCACAGGCTCTCTGAAAGCAGAATAAAAGCCTTGGCCCATCATTGGTTGAGGATGAATCAATGAAGATGCAGCATCTATACCATGTCTGAGTCCACCTCCACCATTCCCCATAGGCCCTCCTAACCCAGGATGAAATCCTTGACCCATCATTGTTTGAGGATGATTCGATGAAGATGCAGCACCTATACCTTGTCTGAGTCCACCTCCAGCATTCCCCATAGGCCCTCCAAAACTAGGATGAAATCCATGGCCCATAATTGTTTGAGGATGAATCGATGAAGATGCAGCACCTATACCTTGTCCGAGTCCATCTCCAGCATTACTTATAAGCTCTCCTCTTCCTACAACGCCATCAACCCCCATCATCTGAGGACCTGCTCTGCCCAAATGCCCACCATCTTGAAAATTACCAACAGTAGCATTGGACCGATTAATTTGATTCACTGAAGTGGTCTGAGTTAGACAATAGCACAGACTAATTCGATTCATCCTGGCCTCTTCCATGCTCTTTAGCGAAGGTGGTGAAGAAAACCTGACCACACAGGCTCGCCCATTGAAATGATGTCCATCCATCCCTTCCCTACATGCCATGGCAGCTGCAGGTTCACAAAACTCAGCCCGACAATATCCATTCGACTTCCCAGAAGCTATTTCATCATAAAACACAACTTCCTTCACAGCTCCATATCTGCTTAGCTCTAACTCCACTTCAGCATCTGTCGTCCACCAAAGCAGATTAACAACAATTAAAATCGTCCCTCCACTACCGTCTCCTCCACCTAAGGCCCCGATACTGCCCATACTGCCGGTAGCATTCCCACTAACCATACTACCGTTCCCTGAACTCCCAACATTCCTAGCATTTCCTAAAACGTTAGCACTAGCAGCAGTAGGCCTTTGAATTATCTCTCGATTCTCAATATTACTGCTAGCATTATTCGCTATATCAGCCGTCTTACCCGATTCTCCCATTTCATTCCCCCTAACTGCCATATCCCTAGACCCATCAACCCCACTCGAAATCCCAGACGCTACAATTGCAGCCGTCGCAGCAGCATTGCCAGTCTTCTGACGCAGCTCAACCGCCTTCTCTTCCTCCTCATTCTTCCGAACTGACTGAAGAAAATTCTCTCCAACATTCATATTGTTATGAAGATCCCCACAATCATCATCATCTTCTTCAACAAGAAACCCATCATCCGCAAGAGCTGAAATAACTTCATCCCAATGGCCATCCCCCGACCCCCCACCTTCATTTTCTTCCATGGCTTCTTCAAGAAAGAAGTTGGGGTTAAGTTCTTGACTACTTGTCACAACTCGATTGTGCAATTCAACACTTGATTTTGACGATAACAATACGAAATGCTTCAAAGAAAGAACACTGAAACACGCCCTAATCAAAAGAGAACTTCAGAAATTGAGAGAACTAATTGATCTTCCATTGATAAACACTAACAGTACACAAAGAAGCTCACTGTGAAAATGAATTTCGGTTCAACTCTAGGTATTACTACTCTTCAAAATTCTGCGTACTCTGTTTTACTTCTGGTTTAGGAAGGGTATATATACATATATATTATAAAAAAAAACATTCTGTGTTTTATAAATTGCAAAGAAATAAGAAAATTTGGACTAATACGCATGAAAAATCATATACTAATTCTATTATACACTCCCAAAACTTCGATACTCATGAATTTAGTCCTATAGAGGCAATGATTATCGCTCCTAGATCACGTCGAATGGATCCATAGAATTTAGGGTCAAACAGAGTCGATTTTGATAAATTATGAAAATTTATGAAATAATATACGTGGGAAACTTAGATAATTATGAATTTGTATTTCGTGATCTCTAAACTCCTAACATATGACTCGATCCTGGAGAGACTAAGAGTATTATTTATTGATCGTCACGAATAGATCCAATAAAAATTTAAAATCAAAGAAAGTCAGTTAGTTATATATAAAAAAAATTCATGAATTAGTACATATTCTTACTTTGTGTTTCTTGACCTGAAATTTCAAAAAAAATGATATGGTCCTTAAGAACAATGAGTATTGTTCAGTATATAAAAAACTCATGAAGTTAATACACATAAAAAACTGAAATAGTTATAAATTTATGTTCATATCAATCCTACAAAGAAAATGAATACAATTAACTTAGTTATATTTTGAATGAATTCACGTATCGATCCGACTAATAAATATAAGAAAATTATTTTTGCAATGAAAATATGCTATCTCAAATTTTACATTTACTTTTATCTTGTAGATATTCGATAAAATATTTATCAAATTGTAAATTTAGAGTCATATCAAAAAAAGTTAAATCAATATATAAGCTAAATATTTTATAGCAAAACACTCTTTATTTTAAGGTTATAAATCTACTAACAATGGGTATGGAGAAATGAAATTCAATCTTACTCAACAAACTGAATAATTCAATATTTAATATTCAATAAGCTTTTTTTATTATTTTATTTTTATTTTTATTTTTTTAATATTCAATAAGTTAATTTTTGCATTTGGAGTTTTTTTTTTTAATCATCACAAATTCAGCTCTAAACAAACCCCTTTGTTTAAATATTTTTGTAATGCTAAACGTTGCAACGTTTGGTATTTGATTTTTTCCTCACAAAATTGCAACGTTAAGTTTTCACATTACTATATTAATTATCAGAAATCAGATTTTAATTCACATAAGTGATTATCCATTCCGTTTAATTTCCCGGTGACCGGAATATTCCTTGTGATATCAATTATTCCTTCTGTTTAATTTTCCGGCCACCGGATATTCTCCGTGATATCGCTTTGTTAAACTATAAAAATGTACAGAGTATTTACCATTGCTTTATTGTTGCTTCATGTGATAAAGTCCGATGGAGCAGCACCGCCGGCGAAATTGGATGCCCCTGTTTTTTCTCCGGTCTTTTCTCCGGCGAGTCCTTATGCATCGCCTGACAAGTCTCCGGCCACTCCAGAAATTTCTCCGGCAATTACAATGTCTCCAAAAAGTAGTCCGTTTGCTTCACCGGTTCAATCTCCGTCGAGAACTCCGCCGACGACTTCAATTTCGCCGGCTAGGACTCCATCGTTCAATGACAGTGCTCCGGTACCATCTAAGGCTACTCCTGAAAGTCCGGTGAACACTTCTACAATATCCCCTAAAGCATCATCAAAGGTACCGGCGTCTTCGCCGTCTATCTCGCCGATGAGTTCTCCTGGGCCAATGCCGTCATCGAATGTTGCTGCTCCTGTACCATCGGCTATGACTCCTCGGCCGAGACTTAAAACTCCGGTGATCACTCCTGCAATATCTCCTAAAGCATCGTCAATGGTGCCGGCGTCTACTCCGTTTGTCTCGCCGATAAATTCTCCTGCGCCAATGCCGTCATCCAACGTTGCTGCTCCGGTACCATCGGCAATGACTCCTCGGCCGAGATTTAGAACCCCGGTCATCACTCCTGCAATATCTCCTAAAGCATCGTCAATGGTGCCGGCGTCTACCCCGTTTGTCTCGCCTATAAATTCTCCAGGGAAAACGCCGTCATCCACTGTGGCTGCTCCGCTTCCATCTGTAATTACTCCTCGTCCGAAATTTAAAACTCCGGTGATCACTCCTTCATCATCACCAGTGCCTGAGTCTCCAAAAATGAGACCATCCGCTTCACCGGTGAAAATATCACCGACGAAAACAATTTCGCCAGCGCTCACTCCATCATCTTCTGTTATTGAAAATCCAGAATCTGCTCCTGTATTCTCCTCTCCGGCATCATCTCCGGCAGCTTCACCAACAGATATTCCGACAAGCGCTGTGACTCCATCAATATCCGCAAGTATTCCTTCAACTTCAATAACTCCGTCAGAGGCACCAGAGATGTTATATGCTCCGATCCCGGCACCGGTCGATTTATCGCCGGCGAGTTCACGAAGCGTTGTGACTGATACTTCCGCGGGAACTTCAAAATTTAAAGCGCCAATTTTTCTAAGTGGGCTTGCTATTTGGGCTGTTTTGTTAATTTGAAGTTCATTAAAGGCCCAATTTTTATGTATATGTATATACTTTTTTCCTTTGTAATATTCTTCTTTGTAATACATTTTTATTTTTGGTATATAAGCGAAAAATGTAGAGATTTCCATTTAATATGTGTGTAGCGGAGATAGAAGTTTCACGTAAGAAGATTCAAATAATAATACTATTACGTTACTATATTGAACATGTCTTGATAGTTACAGTTCAATCGATGAGATATAAGACTCAACCTAACTAGTCTGTTCTTCACCTTAACGTACACTTCATCAATTACGAACCAAGACGCCTTAAAAGGTTAAATGAATTTGTGATCTAAAATAATTTTTTAATTTATTTTGTTTGTATACTAATATTTAATATCACTAATACCTTAGGCTAGTGCATTGATGCTAAAAATCAAATAATTTTCAATGGATAAGATAAGAGATGGGAGAAAGAAAGAATAGTTTAAAAGTTTATAAAACTATACTTATGGTAAGACTGGATATGGGCCTCAAAAACTCTTTTTTCATTGTAATGATCAAAGTCTACAAAACTTGCTTTTTGAATTTCTTAATGATTAAAGTTGACAAAGTTTCAAAAACAAATTTGTAATCATAGTAAAGAAAAGTTTTTGAAAGTAAAAAGATGAAAGTAATAATCTAAAATTTATTTAGACAATGATGTATTTATACATTGAACTTGCTTGTCAAAATCATTTAAAATTGTGGTGAGATGAATAAAATTTCTCCATCCTTAATAACAAGTCTGAACTCTTGAGTATGCAAAAATCTTAGCTAAGAGTATTTCACCCTTAAATTAACCTTATACATATAAAACTGAATTAATCAAAATACTAGTATGAATATCCAATAATGAATTTGTATAAAACAAAATAAAATACTAGTATGAATATCCAATAATGAACTTGTATAAAACAAAATAAATGATTTATGTATGAAACTTCCTTGTACGACTCATAGTAATGAGCCAAATCAATCATGTATCATACATATATTTGTTTGAATAAGCTCATTACTATATGATTTTATGACACACTTGGTTTGGCCAAGTTATAAAAACAAAATTGTAATTGAAGTCTAAAAAAAAGTATTTTAAAGTTGAAGAATAAAATTGATACTCCTTTGTTTAGACGATTACGTAAATATAAGTTGAACTCTCTCGTCAAAAATATGATTAAGATAAATAGAATTTCTTTATTTATAAGTCAATGGTTCAAATTCAAGTATGAAATATAAAAATAAATGCTTTCTAAAAATATTTCATCTTTAAATTTAATCATGCATGACTCAAATCTAAATCAGTCGATATCCAAATAACAACAGCAATATATACCCAGCATAAGTATGCAATTAAGGTCGAACAGAATATAACGTACATAAATTCTAGCTCGCGGAGATAGAAAATTATAGTATTTGATGCATATTGTGTTAGCTCATCACTATCAATGTACAAGGAATTCATTATGACATATGACATTTAGCACACAACTAATAATGAGTTGTTCAATGGCAAATATATACCAAAAAGTCTTCAATCATAGTCGATTATTCTTCAAAATTAGGTTGTCATTTTATGTCATGACATAGCACAAACAATTACCAATTTGAAAAACTTAAACATATTATTCTTCTTTCTATATAATAATAAAATATTTCGATTTCATTAAAGAATCGAAAAAAGAAAAAAGAGAATGGTAAGAAAAATAAAGTTACACCCATAGTGGAACAGATTTTTTTGTGAATAGAAAGCGAATGTATTTATCATTAGCTATTGTTTAATATTTGAGATGTGTTAATTGAAATAATTAAATTTAAATTTTTGAATAGTTTTATTAAAAAGTAAAAAAAATTAAATTTTTTTTGTAGAAATTTGTAGAGTCTGTCGGTGGACACGTCAGTGGTGCTGCTGTCATGTACACGTGGATTTTATATTGCCACCAGATGTCAGCTGGATTTGATGGGGGTCATATTAGTCATTCAATAATATGTTTTTAATATTAATGAATTCATCAAATAGTAGTAATTAACTTATATTGCAAATTCATCCTGTTTTTAAAATTATTTTTCAAAATTAATTAGTATTAATATTATTAGCGAAAGATTCATATTAATTATGTATTATTTTTAATGACATGTAAAATTTAAAATAGACAAATAAAATAATGAAATAAATAACTTAGTAAAAACTGAAGTATAAGATTATCAATAAAATATTTATATTAATTATTACTATTTTAAGTGATATGTAAAATTTGAAATAAACAAATAAAAACGAAAAAAGAAAATAATTTAATAAAAACTAAGGTATGCAGTTAATTAATTTTAAAAAAAGGAGCACGAATTTCAGAAATGAACCAAAAGAAAACAAGAATCAGACAGCAGTACCCCACTTTAACGGCCACTCAGTAAATTAAAACCAAATATTAATTGTTTGATTAGAAATAAATTATTTAAAGTAAATTAAAATATTTATTATATATAAAATAATTTCTTTTATTAATTAAATATTTGATATTTCAAATTAAATATAAAATAAAATAATAATACGCCTCATATCAAATAACTTTTTAGAGCTTATTTGTTACTCTCTCCTATTGTAATTTGTAGTATTTTTCATATAGTTTTAAATTATCTAATTTTTTGTTTAAAATATCAAATTAATATGATCTAATTTACCTTTAAAAATTAGTCAAATTAACTTTCGATAAGTGCAACATGATAAATATTTTCAGACAGAGGGAGCACCAAAGAGAGATGATAAATGCTAATTAATTATGAAGTTAATTTTAAAATAAATTTGTTTCATATTTAATTGTAATAAACTGTGAGATAATTAAATTCACATATTTTAAATTAAGACGATACTCCAAAAAAGACTTTTAAAATTTCTTTCCTTCGATAAAGCTTGTAAAACGATCGCACCCACCCTATTTCGATCCATATTAATTTATATTTTGCTATCCAAAAGTTAAGCTTTAAATATACAGTTTATCATGTCTCGTTTTAGTTGTCATTTAGGCTAAATTTATTATATTTTGTACTTTATGTCTCATTTTAATTGTCATTAAAGCTAAAATATAATAAATTATACTGTGTCATTAATTTCATTACTAAATATGAAAATAGTTTAAACAACCATTAAAATGGGCATATTACCACACTTATATGAATAGAATTACAATCTATAATATTTGTTATATAACTTTTTAAATATTTAATTCTTTTTAGTATTAAGTTTATCCATACTAAATTTAATTGAGTTTCAAAAATGTAACTCGATAAGTATTTTTAAAATATAAAAAAATATTATTAAAAATTGCTCTGTTAATTTGAAGAATGATAATCCAACACAAACTATCTAAGAATTATTTCCCCAAAACCTTCTGGATCATCTAAACAAAGGATGTGGGGCGAAGTCAACTTACTCAAGAGTTCTCTTTAATTTAGGTAACTAATTAAGCACATTTATCTACCAGCAAAAACAGATTAGAGCTCCTATTTGTCAGCGGCAAGGCTTTTTTCTTTCTTTCGGAGTGAGAAAGAAAAAGCAAACAAATCGAAGCGGGAAGGTTCGTGCACAAAAGGCGATTAATCGAGATAGTGCATAGGTGACAAAACATGCATGAGGTTTCCTTCAATCTAATGGTCCCAACAAAAAAAAACATTAGAGCTCGCAGGGGCGACTGCGTATAGCATTCTAAGATCTCAATACGAGAAAGAAATTAGGATAAGCAGCTCCGTACGCCATTCAGATATCAGCAGTTTCTGTCCTAAGGTAAATTCCTGCTTTTTTCGTTGAGGTAAGATATAAGGTAAGGCCTGCAAGTTCGTTCCTTGAAATATTTTCCTCTTAATTTAGCTTCCTATTTTCATAGATATGAAGACTATAAAACGTCGATTAGAGAGCAGGTTATTCTTAGAAAGTTATTGTGGCCATAGGCTAGCATGAAGTTTAAAAATATTTAAAAGAAATCGTGATTAAACTCGACTTCATGCATTAAATGATTTATTTTTAAATATAATATTTTTAACATATTTTTTAAAAAATTTTAAATCTTAAACTCGAGATTTTAATTATGTATGAAAATTTTTTCAAACTTTGTTCCCACCTCACAACACACTTGAGATCTACTTTATCCCTAAACCCAACCTTTATATTTATTGCTACACACTGTCCACTATTCTTGTCTCACACACATTGTGTTTACTCTCTCTCTGCTTCTCTTTCTTCTCTCTTTAGCAATAATGCAGCTCCGGTCAATGACCGCCGTGGCCATGGTGGTCTTCTCTTTAGGTCTTTTGCTTTCACCACATACAACCTCAGCTCACAATATCACACATATTTTAGCAAAATACCCACAATTTTCCACTTTCAACCATTACTTAACTGAAACCCATCTCGCCGCCGAGATTAACAGCCGGGAAACCATAACTGTCTGCGCCGTCGACAACGCCGGCATGGAGGAGCTTCTCTCTAAGCATCTCTCCATTTACACTATCAAAAACGTCATTTCACTTCACGTACTTTTAGATTACTTCGGTGCGAAGAAACTTCATCAAATCACTAATGGCACTGCGTTAGCTGCAACTATGTTTCAGGCAACCGGTTCAGCTCCTGGTTCGACTGGGTTTGTTAACATTACAGATCTGAAAGGTGGGAAAGTTGGATTTGGGCCGGCGGAGAATCATGGTAATCTTCCGGCTACTTTTGTTAAATCTGTTGAGGAGATACCGTATAATATATCTGTTATACAGATTAGTACGATGCTGCCGTCTGCTTCAGCTGAAGCTCCGACGCCGGAACCGAGTCAGATGAATCTGACTTCGCTAATGTCGGCTCATGGGTGTAGGGTTTTTGCTGAAACATTGTTGAAATCTCCTGCTGAGAAGACTTTTGATGAGAACGCTGATGGTGGGTTAACGGTGTTTTGTCCTGGAGATGATGCGATGAAGAATTTTATGCCTAAGTTTAAGAATCTGACTGCCGACGGGAAGCAATCGTTGCTTGAGTATCATGGGGTTCCGGTATATCAATCTATGGCGAGCTTGAAATCGAACAATGGCGTGATGAATACTTTAGCTACTGATGGAGCTAAGAAGTATGACTTCGTTGTTCAAAATGACGGCGATACAGTGACATTGAAGACGAAGATTGTGACGGCGAAGATCACCGGAACTCTTATTGATGAACAGCCTATTGCTATTTTCACTATTAATAAAGTTCTAATGCCTAAGGAACTATTCAAGGCTTCAGCTGCCGCAGATACTCCGGCGCCGGCACCGGCACCGGATGCCGATTCACCTGAACCATCTAAAAAGAAGAAGAAACACAAGGCGCCGGCGGCAGCTGATACTCCGGCGGACTCACCGGCGGATGGTCCCAGTGACGATTTTGCAGATTCAACGGCGGATGATAACAGTGCGTTTAGTTACAGTGCTGGACCAGTGGTTGCCGGAGTTTTGAGTATGTGGTTTTTCTTTTTATTGCTTTGAGTTTTTTTATTCATTTTATATGATTATAATTTAAAAGGACTTTTATCGTTAAATAATTATTGATTATTTATGTTATCAAACTTGTTATTTTGTACTTCTTTTTTTGTAATAGAACAGCTAGGAGTTTTTGCGAGTGTTTTTTATCTTTTTTTTTTAATTATTTTGTTCTTTGCCGTTTCTTGGACTATAGTGTATTTTGTTTATTAATTTATGAGTGTTATTTTTGGTTATTGTGCTATGACTTGTTACATGTTTCAAACTTTTAATAGTCACCCTGTCGTCTATACCCACTTATTATTTATTTGCTTCACTTCGAGTATAGTAAATACAAGTACAAAAAATAAAAATTAATATCAAAAGCACATCAACTGACATTGTAAATCAACTAATAGTGTAAAAATCAAAATACAATAAATAATGCGAGATATAATAAGTGAAAAAATTATGAATATATATAAAGACGTGAACGGTGAAATTAAAATAATAAAATCAGAATAATATCTCATAAAATTATTTTACCTTACATGATATCATTTTGTTCCAATATTTTGGCCTATTTCAATCGATTGCTATTTTCATAAAACGGATCCCCTATTTATATTGGCCTTATTAGTCCCACCCTTGTTTCATTAAATCCAAAAAAGTTTAAAACTTTGTGTTCCATTCTTGGTTTTGTAGTGGACCACATGAGTGGTTAGTGGTAGATGGCTTAAGCAGCGTTGCTTGTGAGTTTTTGACAGCTGACAATGTTTTTGTGGTCCTCCAAATAGTTGTCTACAGCATTAGATGATAGACTTATTGTAACTCGATTAATTTTATATGATATTTTTTATTTTTAATTCAATATAAATATTCTATTTAATTCATGAAAAAATCTTGACATGCTTTCTAGTGGACCAAGTGCATGTTTCTTTCCTCGTGTGATTCATTGTTTTAACACTTCATGAAAAAAAAAATCTTTCTATCCTACAATATTATTGCAGTTGCCCCATTTTAATAACAATGAATTGACTTAACCGTTAAAAGAAGGGATATTGAATAAGTACCCTCTTAATCTATGTCTGAAATTTTAGAGATACATTTATACTATATTAAAATTTTATTATTCCCTGAACTTATTTTATTAATAATTTTTTATCCTTTTTCGGCCAACGTGATACTATCTTGTGGGCCCAATGCTGGTTGACTATTTTTTCAAGTTAGTGCCACGTAGGTCGAAAAGGAATAGAAAATTACTCATAAAATAAAATCAGGGGATAATAAGACCTTAATATAATATAAGTGTGTCTCTTAGATTTCGGGCATAGATTGAAGGAGTACTTGTACATTTTCTCTTAGAAGAAGTTACCTGTTTCTATTTACTTGTCCATATTTCCTCTTTTAGATGTCTTTATTTATTTGTTCATTTTGATAAATTAAGAAAAGACAATTTTTTTTCCTATTATACTTCATTTAAACTTCTTGAAAATTTTTAAGTTTTAATTCATCATTTTTTAAATCATATTTAATAAGGATGTCATATTGGGACAACTAAATAGGGATAGGGAGTATCATTTGTCTATATTGAAATATCAATTAAAAACTTACTACCATCAGATCGCACTATCACTTATTAATCGTCACTTTCATCCTCTTTATAGATAATTCAATACAAGTTTGGTTGGTCAAAATCCAACCTAAAGTTGAAGTTCATGGACGCATTTTACTTTCACACATGCTACTATTGTATAATAATCCAGAAATTTTGGATGAATTCAATCATCTTATATGTTTTTCATATTTTTTAAAAAATGTAATTTTACACGATATTATTGTATTGTATATTAATCAAGAGATTTAGAACGAAGTTAATCATTTATATGTTTTTCCTTTTAAAAAATTTAAGCACATACGTATACCAACTATAATTAATTGAAATTTAAGACGGTAGTTGTTGTTTGTATTTATGAAGCAGCAGAAAGACTGCTGGCTTTATTAGTTTTTGGTTACATATTCATCACCCTAGCTTCAATAATTGTAGTATAGACTTAAATTAATCATTTGGTTCTCAATAAGTTAACTTTTTTAGCCCCCAAAGACCATAAGAATTGGTGAAAAATATACATCCCTATGTTCCAAAAGAGTGTACTTTTCAATATAGGAATTCATTCATTTCAACCGTTGTTTTGAAATATTGTATAGACTTTCCATATCCTTAAACTTTGTGCCCACTATACCTTATCACATTGGATAAAAAAAGTAACTAAGTTGTTTCATATTCGAGTCATTGAGACAAATGACCCAACTCTCGTACTTTAATTGGAAAGGATAGAGAAGTGAGAGCCATCATTCTGGAGTTTTGAATGTTTATAGACAGCCCAAAGAATTATCTCACGACGAATTTCTCGATCATAAAAAGATAATACTTCCTCTGACCCATTTTATATAGCATCATTTCCTCTTTGGTCAATCCCAAAAGAATGTCAAAGTTCTTTATATGGTAAGTACTTAAAGATACAATTCTTTTTTTATCTTTTTTGGTCCCAGTTAATTAAATTATACTATTCTAATACATTTATAAAGAGAGAGAAAAGTAAATTTACCTTTTTAAAGAACTATTTGATTAACATTTTAAAGTCTACTCCGTGCCCAGTCATATATTGTCACATAAAATGAGACGGAGGAAATATAGTAAGTTACTTTTGGTCTTTATCTCATTTTTTGATTCTTATCGTCTATGTAGCTCCCTGCTACATGAGCCAAAACACGAGAACACAATTCTTTGCCTTCGCAAATAGGCAAAGGATGTCACCAGCTTTTCCCTTTGCCTTATTCTATATTGTACAAGTCCCAAAACTAATGATTTTGTAGTGTGTAAGACAATCTCTTTTTTCAATGACGGTGGTGCAAGGCCAACTTTGCATGCAATTCCACTAGGTATCAACTACTCTATCTTCCACCAACATAACTCATAATTTATTTATGATATATTACTAAAAGCATGAACAAAAAAGTTGAAAGTTGAATTACGATTTTACCATTTCTATAAATTTAATTGTTATAAAATATTTAAATATTTGATTGTATAAATTTAATATTAATGACTTCTAGACTTCTTAAGATTAATTCCTAATTAAATATCTAATCTATTAATATTTATCATCAATAATCTATATGTATATAATAATTATAATTTTTTTTTAAAAATCTTTACCTAACTTTCTTTTCTTTTCCTCTTTGTTATAACTTTTTCCTTAATCCCTCTCATAAATAATATAATTGATGTGGATAAAGTATTATCTTTTATGATAAATAACGAAATTTAATAATTTAAAGGGTGCAAAATCTACAAAATGGAGACGCACATTGATAATGTCTTCTTGATTATTATTAAAGAATGACTCTAGCTTCACAAATTTAAATTAATTAATACTTATTACATGATAAGAACTTTAATTGTTCTTTTTACATGGTTTGCTAACATTAATTTTTTTTTCATATTCTTCATTTATTTATTATTATTTTCTAATTACTTATTTAACTTTAATACTCTTAATATTCATAACTTTCATCTTTTCATATTCATAACCTCCAAATATTTAAACTAAAACTTTAAGATATCTTTTGATATTCCTTCTATTCTATTTATATAAATTCAACTTCTTTCTCTCATGAAACCCATATCAAAAGTACTATTTTTATTCTATAGTAAAAACAGATGATGAAGACTCTTGAATTTTGATAGGATATGAAAGGAGTCGATAAAAACTCAGAGAGTTATGTACTAATTTTTACTTATTTTTTCATCCATATATACATCAATCTTATAAGAATAATGTCTATATTGTATTTTTTCTTAAATATTCTGTTTCTTTTTGTCTTTCTTTCATTATGTTAGACTTCTTAATTTAGTTTTCTGTGAATGTTTTATTGTTGTAAGTCTTTGAATTTTGTAATTGTTATATTTTATTATTCATAACAATTTACATATATATTTCCACGAGATTTTAGTTATTCTATGTATCTATAAAAATTCACATGAAATACACGTGCGAAGCACGTCCTCAGAAACTAGTAAGAGTATATAAGTAGTAAGAGATCAATAAATATTATATCCGAACCCATATTAACTATCTTAAAGACTGAATCATTAAGAGATCATGCATCTAATGCCTCTACCAGGCATTATGATGTGGGATCAATTAAAACACATGAAATGTTAGGATGCCAGACATACCCATCTCCCATTGGTGGGTCCAATTCATACAAAAGAAAGGAATAAACAACAATACATGTGTGAGATTTGAACATCACTTATATAGGTGCATCTAATAACAATTCCACATATGATCTTTAAGCTTTGGTATATATTCAAATACTTATGAAAAGATAATAACATTATTATGCATGGTCTAAGGAGGAAAGCAAAGGGTTTGCTTAACTCATAATGCCTCCAACATTAATCCGCCATTAACCAAAAGGGGTTTCAGTGAAATGTTAAAGGTTCCTCTACCCTTAATTAGAAGTATCAAGTAAGAGTCCTATGGGATCCCGATTAATAGGACCAATTGATTCTGAACATGGGATGGTTAATGGCAAAAAGAAAATAAAACAATGAGAGACCATGACAAAAGAAAATTGAAAATACACATAATTTCATCATAGAAGATAGAAACAATTACTAGAGAAAATAATAACTTATAAATTAGATCAAAATAGTCTTACAAGTTTCGATCTCCAAATCTTCCTTCAGAGATGAACTTGCAGAGCATCTTGGTCCAGACCATCCTTGTTGCAATACAGGAAACTCATGCTGGCATCGAAAAATGACGTTATAGGCACAGGAGTAAACCCTGGGTAGTTCCTTTCGGCCTTAACCAAGCATAAATCTTTGATGTACTTGAAAAGGCCATGTTTCTGAACAAAAGGTAGAGCTGCATACTCTTCAATTGGCATCCACTGAAAGGAAGTAAGATTTGTTATGACTCGAGTAGTGGTGTAGCCAGGTGTATTGAAGGTGGTTAATTGAATTGCTTCGTCAGATAGTTGAACTACACAAATAGGACAAAAGTAATAATTTTTTATACAGGAAAGTTGTTGAATCCCCTTGATATGAGGAATGGTCTCAAGTGTCATTCTCTTTATGACCGAAGAAATCATCTAGAGCCAACTCTATGGCCAATCGTAAACATTAAAACTCGGGGATGATGGGCCCACCCTCTACCTTACTCTACTTAAATACTGGACTTAGTTCACTTGTCGCAAAACTCGAACTTGTAACCTGGCACATAAGTCCCTCAACCTTTGCCGGTTGAGCTAAACCCTGGGAAGATCTCAACTCTCAAGTGTCATTTTTACATTTTCTAAATTCTTCTTGTTATAGTTCTTAGCTCGGCCACTCGACTCGAGAATACTGTTATAAATCTATAGATTTGAATTAAGACATACCTGGGCTGCCTCAATTTCTAAATCTTGTTTTTGAATGTCAAATGATAAAGGGCGCATCATGCAAATGAAGAATAAGTCTGACTTGCCAAACAACGCCTTGTGTGTTTGCCTGTAAAAATAGAAATGTTATTGCTGCAGAAATCCAGACAATGGATAACATTTTATAGGTTTAGATCATGACAAGAAACTTCGACAGTACAATCCTCTGGTCATTCAAGATGTTACGTCCTTTTCCAAATAACATTTCCTCCTAGTCAGTTGTTCCATTTAATCAGCAAAAAAGTTCCAAAAGATGTATGGCTTGGAACTAATCTTTTCTCTAACATACGCAAAATGTATACTTCATTTCAGAATATACAAATGTATTCTCCAAACACACACTCTAATTATCTTCTGATTTCCCTGATGAATAAGTTAAGTTGCACTTATTCACAGAAAATACTCAATTTGGTATAAAGGAAGTACTCCCTCCGTTTCACAAAGAATGGTCTGGTTTGACTTGACACGGAGTTCAAGAAAATAAAGAATACTTCTGAATTTTTTTGTCTTAAATTAAAGTTATGTCAACTGTACAAAATTGCCCTTTAATTTGTGGCCTTAAACATGCCTCGTTTAAAGTTTAAATTAAAATGTTACCAAAAAAAAGGTCATTCTTTTTAAAGAAGACTAAAAAGGAAAGGAGGTCATTTTCTTTTTGAAATGGAGGGAGTATCATCTTTTCATATATTTTTTGCATATTTATCGGTTCTCCTTTTCTTAGCCATAATGTAACACAGCAATTAAAGCAATAACATGGTGGAGAAAACAGTCTAAGTATATTGTTGGGCATAGGGAAAGTGCCTCAATTCAAACTAGAACCTTTCTTTTTCAAGCTCTATGGCATAGCCACTAGGCCAAACAGATGTCTATACCCTGCCACTTCCGTTTTCCACTTTCTGAAAACTAGAAGTGACCTATTTAATAACAACTGAGCCTCACTCCAAAACAAGTTAGAATCGGTTATGTGAATCCTCACTTTTATATTTAAGTGCAACTAAAATTGTACCAAAAAAATATAAGTGGAAAAAAATAATAAGTTTTATGGTGATACTAATGATAACATTAGTTTCTCTAACAAGTATAAAACCTATTCCCAACTAATAAATATCACTTAAATGAATCTTTTTCTTCCATTGGGTCCTTTACTTGAGTCTACATTGATTCAAACAGGGGAATGTAAGGTGGCAATAGGAGGCTATGGGATCACTATAACGCATAAGATACAATTATCTCTAATCTAAAATCCTTTGTGATCGTAGCTTATTATAATAATTATTCCTCACATAAACAACATGGCAACAGTTTTCCTACCTGAATGCAAGTACTTCCATAAATTCAGTATCAATCTGCAAAAAATGGAACCGGACAAATCTTAGAGACGCAATAACATTCACATGTACAGCAGAAAAATGGCATATGTTGGTTTATTTTGATTATGTGGCTTTAGTATTCGATAATCTTACTCCTGTTTCTTCTTTTACTTCCCTTATTGCACCTTCAAATATATCCTCGCCCTGCAGAACAAGAGCTCAAAATACAGTTTACAAGGCGTGTGACTAGTTGTGCAGCTGACTTTAGCTCCAAGTAATGTGCATACCTCTTCAACAATGCCAGTAGGGATCTTCCATACAGCAGTTCCCTTTAATCTGCCGCTATTTTCTTGGACAACAAGCAACTAAAAGCAAAAGATTTCCAAAAGTTAGACTGGAAAATCAGCACCAAGATGGCTCAAGCATAGTGGTCCGAGACATGAAATATTTCAGTGATCAAAAGATGCTTCCTCCGTCACAAAATTAATGTGCCATCAAACAATTGAGGCACATAGATGATAGATCTCTGATAGATCAGTTGATCTACCAGTACGTACAAATGAGAATTGACAAGTGAAGCAGAATCCAGATTTGAGTAGAACGATTTGAAGTGTAAGGAAGCTTTTTTCATGAGCATGAAATTAAAATAAACTTGGGCATGATTGACAGACACTAGTCGATTAGTTGCAACATGTAATCATCTGGAAAAGCCATTTCAAGAAATGAGTGCATGCTTTTATTACCACTTTAAAGTAACAGAAGTGTAACCTTTCAATCAGGGAGTAAGATACTGAGAGAAACAGAACAATCACAGAGGAGCAAAGAGTTTTATACAATAAAAATAGATCTGAGTTACCTCTCTTTTGTCATTTAAGACTATAGCACCAATACCCACTCGATGTGAGGCATTTGCTGGGATGGTATTCTCAGTTTCTGGAATCCAATACACTAACATCAGGTAATGAGGTTCCGCGTGGTGGTACCAAAATCCTTCCTGAAGTCAATGTCACACATTTGGGTTAATTTCATAGCAAAGTTAGTGATATATTTTCCTCAACCTAAAGTACAACATAAGAACTTGAGTTCGTGAAACTTCACGAATTGTTATGTAGTTTCTTAAAGTATATTTCAATGGCGTACATTCAGATTCAAGGGTGATATCCAGTTTCAATTTTAACAATCTTAAACAACAGCATGATATATCACAATGTCATCATACAATGGCCTTCTCTATTGGTAAGTTTTTATTGTCTGACTCAAATATTGCACTTGGTACAGATTTTAAGTCTCTAGTAAGAATAGCAAGTCTAGGACACATTTAAGTGTACAAATCGAATCCCATGAGCCTCCTTATGTCAACATGAACGCTATCATATTCAAGTTCAGAAAAGTATAGCGAAATTACCTTAACTGCAGTTTCAACCAAATTTGCAAGCTCAATTGGTAGTTTAATCCAGACACCCTTCTTCCCCTGAAAAATATATAATATCATAAACACTAAACTAGAAAGTTATTCTGGCCACACAACTCATTTTGATAGTAAGGGGTCACAACATCATGCAAACTGAAGACTGTCGAACAGCGATAAAAGAAACGAGGAACCTAGTTCTTATGAGGACTGCAAGTCTTGTCAGCCAAACTGGAAATCTGATGAGTCGAATTCCAAAGCAAATTAAGTTTTCACCACCACTGCTGTGAATAAAAGCTTCTCATCTATACAACATCAACCACAAACACAAAGGTAACACAACTTCCTGGTTTAAAAGAAGATTCATTTAATTCTTCATACTGTGCTTTTCTTCCTGGTTTAAAAGAAGGGGGGAAACATGAGGTGTAAGCTGTAACACACACCATCTCATCTAAAATCTTAAGCTGTAACACACACCATCTCATCTAAAATCTTAAGCTGTAACACACACCATCTCATCTAAAATCTTAAGCTGTAACACACACCATCTCATCTAAAATCTTAAGCTGTTAGAAAAGAGATCACATGGAAATTCTTTTTGATATGGGAGGCAGTGAGATTCAATCAGATGGTGAGATATCACAGGACCTTTGTATACTGCTCTGATACCATGCTAAAGTATGTGACCATCTCATCTAAAAGTTAAGCTATAAAAAAGAGCACACTTTTATTATTTAATTAAATTCTCAACACATTTAAGCTCAACTCAGGTCATCATCTTACAATAACATAAATAACGAATAAATAAATACGATTGTGGTCCGGTGGTTCTACTTTTTAAACATAATTCAGTGGGAAGCTACAAACAGGTGAACAGTCAACATCAAGATAATGCTCATCTTTACTCATAACCAAGAAAAAAGGCAGCATACCTGCAGCCTCCACTTGGATAATGAAGCTTTAAGCATGTTTTGAAAGACATTGGGGTCCATAGGCTCCTTCAATTCCACTATAACTCCACCATGATAATCATTTACTGCAGAAAGCAACTGATCCTTCTTGACACCATTTTGAAATGCTAGTTTCTCCATATATAGGACCTCAACTTAGTCCAAATTTGCACAGCACAATTTTCTGCTTGGACGCCTGAAAAACACAATCACTGGATTAATATAAAGCAGAGGTAAAACCAGAATTTGGAGTTTATAGGTTCGGAACTTTCCAACGAACCCATAGCTTGTTTTATTCCTTCTTAACACTGGATATCTAGTCATGCGTCCTAACCACACATACACCTCTAATATAACAAAAAAAGAGATCGTTTCATCAACTATGTCTCAACTCCAAATTAGTTCAGCATTAGCTAAAACTGTGACTAAACACACAAAAAAAAACTCAATAAAATTGTTCACCATCACAGATACAGGAAAATGACTTCATCCATCACAGAAATTCATCAGTAACAAACTAAATTAGTTTACCGAGTTAAAAGTAATAAAAACAAATTCCGCTTATATGAAAAGCTTTTTCACAGTCAATCCAAGTAAGAAAATGATAAACAAATCCTAATGAATAGAATGAAATGGATACATATGATTCATAAGCTTACATATGGAGATAACAATCCAAGTAAGAAAATGATAACTCAAATCCTAATGAATAGAATGAAATGGATACATATGATTCATAAGCTTACATATGGAGATAATTCTCAAAGCAAAATTTCACGCAAAGGACCCAACTATTCAATAAAAATTGCTCCAAATCACAGAAATACATTTTCTCAACAAACTAAACTAGTTTTCTGCGGTAAAATCTAGAAGAACGAAAAATGTATAAACAAATTATAATGAACCGAGTAAACAGATACATATGATTCATACGATTACAAATTGAGATAATACTCGAAGCAGAATTTCACGTGAAGGAGTTGGATAAAAATTGCTCTAAAAAATCAGAGAAATACATTTTCTTAACTAGTTAAACTAGTTCTCTGAGGTAGAAACTCGAAGAATGAAAAATATAAAAACAAATTATAGAGTAAATTTGATGCATATAATTCATACAACTACGAAAAGCAGAATTTCACGTCAAGGACTCAAACTGTTTGATAAAAATTGATCCAAATCACTTTCCCGGACAAACTGAACTCGATTATTCGAGGTAAAATCTAGAAGAACGAAAAATGTAAAACAAATTATAATGAATACACATGATTCATACGATTAAGCAAAGCAGAATTTCAACTCAAACTGTTTGATTAAATTTGCTCCACATCACTAACGCAGACAAAACGAACTCGATTTTTTCAAGGTAAAATCTAGAAAAACGAAAAATGTACAAACAAATTTATAGTAAATAGAGTAAAATTGATACATAATCGAGAAAAAAACAACAACTAGAGATCTGTAAATTCATAGCAATAATGTTCACCACTCACTGATAAAATACTGAGGAAGAAGCTCAAAATTACCTTGAAAATGGAGTTTTCAGCTGAGAACGAGAACTCTGCAAGTGAAATTGGAGTGAATTGAATACTGAATATAAATAGGCGGGGGTGGGGCGTACTGTAGCAACGAAGAAACTAGTGTGCGCCGTATGCGTAAATGAATGATGAACACTCCACTAACACGTTCCCAACAAATAAGCCAATTAATTAGTTGGTTGCATCATTTGGGTTACCATTCCATTACGAAAGCCGCCACTATGAATGTATGAGATGTATTTGCTCATTTCAATTTATGTGACTAATTAACATTGATATAATAGTCTTTATCAGTATTTTAGAAGGTACGATGTAAGACGAGATATTTTATACAGTATAATATAATGTATAAGTTTTGATATATGATGTATAAGTGTCTTGAATCTACAGGACGTAGTCTTATGTATATTCAATTTTATAGTTCTATTACTAATTAAAGTCCTTTTAATTATAATTTTTTTATGAAAAATCTATAATATATATATAAATTATATTATGATTTTTATTTGAGATAATTATTGATAATCTATAATAAAGAAAAAAATATGGCAACTTTCACATATAACAAATAAAAAATTCATATTTGTATGTTATAGCAAAGTTTGTATAATTGCGCTCCATAACAAACATAAAAACTGTATAATTCGCTATACATATACAGTTGAAGCAAATTGTATAAAACGAAGTGTATAAAACAAGAAAGAGAAAGACACTTGGACAGAGAACTGTATAAAAACGAAGTGTATAAAACGAATTGTATTATCATAAGTGTACATAACGATTATATACAATTTGAATTTGTATAAAATGAGAAAGAGAGAAAGACAAAAGAGACTTGACAAGGAATATACAACTGAATCGAATTGTATAAAACGAGAAAGAGAGAAATTAGATACAATTTGAAAATTATATAAAACGAGAAAGAGAGAAATTAGATACAATTTGAAAATTATATAAAACGAGAAAGAGAAAAAGGCAAAAGAAACTGGGCAGGGGAATATTTTTATTGTATAATTATAGTGTATAGGACGAAAATATATGTACTTGCATGTGTATATACAATTTTCTCACGCTTTATACAAACAGAAACGCAATTTATACATTTCGCTTCTGTTTGTATAAGTGAGAAGGGCGAGGGTGGCGAGTGAGATTTGGGAGAGTGTGAGTGAGATCTGGAAGAGGGAAGAGAGAGGAACAAAAATATATGTATTTATACAATTTTCTCTGCTTTATACAATTAGAATCAATTTTTATACACTTATGTTTATATAAAGATTGAGGAAGCGAGCGAGAGACTAGAAGGCAAACGTTTGCTATGGAGCACAATTAAATCAAATCCTAGCTACTCTATTTATTTTAGGTTAGTAATTTGTTATTATATACAATTTTCCCAAAAAAAATATTATAATTACTATTTGATAAATATCATTATCCTAATAATAATAAAACATGACTATACAAATATAAATAATATAATATATATCTTAACATGCTCAATTTATGTGATTATGTTGATTTGATATAAAATTTAAAAAAGAAAAAAAAATATTTTTGAAATTTATGATATAAAATATTATTTCTTTCGTTTTAATTTATTTGCTCTTTTCTTTTTATTCTATTTAAGGAAATGTCTTTTTTTTTATTTTAACAAATTTTCAATTTCAATTTTCACATGACATTTTAAAACCATAATATTAGATGTCATTTTGATATATTTGATATATCTTTAATTAAACTAAAATATTTAAATAGTTCTTTATTTTATTAAGCTTGATATCAACTGTCAAAGTTAAAATTGTTTTCAATTATTAAAAGACATACATATTATGTGTAATTACTTCTGATTTAGTGATTGTACCGACTAAAGAAAAGACATATTAAGAATTTATTAAAAATAATATCGACATAAATTATATTTTTTACATATTCTATTTGTACGATCACATTGAATTTATTAAGTTTGAATCTATCACTCATTGACGTTGACACCTTAGCACTAAGTGTGCCTTAAGCTCCAAGCAAGTCGCATCGTTCACACTCAAATCATTCTTTTGTACGGTTTTAAGAAAGTGGATACAGGGTAGACTTTTGGTTTTTTAATTAGGTGTCTATATTCTAAATTTAATGACATGATTAATATAATAAATGTTTAGCTTTAGATTTGATTATAATTTAAAAATATATATTTTAAATAACGCTACATATAATAGTTAACAACGATAATAATATATCAAGTGTAATTTAAAAAGGTGTATGAAAAAATTAGAGTATAATGTAATATCTTATCTCGTAGAGATAGAGAGACTATTGTTAAAAGACTACTAAATCAAAATAGTTATGAAAAAAGAATTACGAAAGTAAAAAGAATATGTCAATTATGTAATAATATAACACAGTAACTACACAATAGGCAACAAATGATAACACATATCAAAAGCAAGAGGTTGCATGTATACGACTAATACTACCACATATACAGTGCTACGGAACTCCCACTGAGCTAAATCCTATCGAAATGCCAGACAAAGCTCAACTACGTACATACCTACTAATCTTCTGTCTTGATATATGATTTTCATATCTTTTTATCTAAAATCATATCATCGATAAGCTAAAATTGTGTTATATATAGTCTATTCTTCTTATGACACTAAATTCCTATATTATAATCAAACGTATCTTTTAAAATTTAGGTACTTGAATCTTTGTCAAAAAGGCTAAAGTTTTTAATTAAGAGCGAAAAAGTGATAATAAAAATTATATCGATAATTTATATTAAATTAATAAATATATGATATGTATTTATATACTCACTTTTAATTAATGAGTTTCCTAGTCAAAGTTGTAACATTAGGCAAACAAATCCGTCAACGATAATTGTTTGAATTCAAAGTCAAGGCCAGATTTTGTTTGAATTCAATTAACAGAAAATCTAATGTAATGATGTTTTGTCTAAAAAAAAATTTCTAGAACATCTTTTTTTTGAATTTAATTAATTCAAATTTATATATAAAAAAATTAATTTTAATTTTATTTCTTTGAAAAAATAACAACTTTAGTTTAGAACTCATGCCACAACTTACAACTAAAAACGATAAAATACTTATCATTCTTTCATGATCTTCACAATTTCAATTATGTATAGTACTTTATTAGAAACGAATTCGGAATTTTAACCTAATAATTATTAAATCTTCTAAATTCATAGTTCACTATTACTAATAATTCCAATGTTATGAAAATTAACTAATCATCCAATAAGTCACGTAATGTTAACTGTTAAAGCCTTTAAAAAAACTGATTAAACCCACTAATTACCACTTCTTTCACCCACTAATTAATTAACTGTCATTTTCTTACTAATTAATCCTACTCTATTATTATATATATACACACACAAAAAAATTACACTCGAACAAAGAACTATTTAGCACTTCATTAATTCTATCCTTAGATATTAATTAAATACTCAATTAAGCTCATATTATTTTCCTAGTTATGGATACTTATTTTGAATTTTCACTTTATCGATTTAACGTGTTCGTTCTCTCTCTTGTTGTTACGTTCATGATCGTTTCAAACATCTTCGTGTCATCTTTTCAATTTCGAGTTGGTGATGAAATTGGTTGGATTACACCAATTGGTAATGAATCTGAGACGTATAACGAATGGGCTGCTAGAAATCGATTTCATATCGGAGATACTCTTTGTAAGTTCTTATCAGAATTTCATCGATAATTTAAAATTTTCAGAATTTGCGACCAACAAATTATGTTGAAAATTGCACATTTTTAAGGGGAAGTTACACATTTGCATGTTTAGACAAAAATATTTACAGTTGCTAATTAATTTAAGTATATATTATACATATGTCATTTTTTATTTATTTTAATGAACGGCTATATAAGTTAATTTATTATTATTTTTAAATACAGATTTCAAGTATAAAGACGACTCAGTACTTGAAGTAACTCCGGCTAATTATCTCAATTGCAACACAACAAGCCCAATTTCCAAATTTGAAAATGGAGAGACAGTTTACAAAATTAGCCATCCTGGCTTCTACTATTTCATAAGTGGCCAGAAAAATAATTGCAAATTTGGCCAAAGAATCATTGTTCGTGTAATGCACCCATCTGAAATTTCTTCCCCGGCGTCCGCACCGGAGATTTCACCGTCTCCGGCTGTTGATGGTGGTGGTGGTGGGGGTGATGGGTGGAGCTCGGACTTTTTGGATCCAGTGATTAATTCCACCACAGTACTTTCTATTTTTTCATGTTTTGTTACTGCTCTTGGGGGTATTATGATCTTTCTCTATTTGCTTATGTAGTTATGTAGAAGAATTTATATATTCTTCATGTTTTAGATATATTATTATGTTTTTTTTTTTTGTAGTTTTCTAAAGTTGTTTTGATTGAAATTTGATTGACATTGTATTAGTTTGAATTCGTTATATATTATTATGTTATCTGTTTGAATGAGGTGCATTGTAGGTATACAATTTTGTTTTACCAACAAAGTTAGGTAAATGTTAGATGAATATGTAAATAAATTTGCATAAAAATAAAATAAATTAATGAAACATCTGTAATATGTATAATGTGAAATATAAATCATAAACGGTGATACTGAAATTCGTAATACACCCAAATCAGAATACATATTATTTTTTAAAATATTGTCATTCAAATATTTTAAAGTGTTGTTATTTTGACTAAATAGTAATTAGATAATAGTATATATTATGAATATGGAAAGCGAGATTGGGAGAGAGAGGAGAGAGGAGAGAGGTGAGCGAGATCGGGAGAGGGAGTAGTGAGGCGAGCAAGAGAGGGCAGAGAGGTGAATTGTATATATACGTTGATTAGATAATAGTATATTATGAATATATATTTGTATATTCTGGCGAATTATACATATATAAATGTGACTAATTTATAAAAATTCGATGTAAGTGAATGTAATTAATGTATAATGTTAGTCAAGAGTGGTAATTATATCAAACTATAATTAGGATGAGTAATTAAGTAGTATAAATTTGTTTAACCGCGTAAAAATAACCTATCACATGAGAGCTGAGCGTGGGAAGGAGAAGAAACAAAGAAAACGCAATTGACAATTGCGTTTTATTCTTTATCTATCAGAAGGGCATTTTTGATATTTACTTACACATTTCCCTACTGCAGTGCCTCTAAGTGCTACGTGCAATTATATTTTTCAGGTTATATTTTTTATATTTATTACAAATAGTTATCTTGCCCTAGTTTTTTATAAATGAAATGTCATCGCGTTTTATTTTAGCGACAAAATCTCAATTATTTTATGCATATTTTTCATTTTGATTTATTTGATACAGTTAAAATTTTAAGACCTAATCAAATTTTTTTTATTGGTATATTTTTATGCATTTTTAATAATTTAAAATGTCAATTATTATGTTTTATAATAACATTTATGTAATTTTCAAATATATAAATTATATTTAATGAAATATAAAAATTTATATCAAAAAAAATTGGGGGTGGGGGTGGGGAAAGAGGGGATTATATTGGGGCATGAATGACAATAAAGCTTTGCGCGTTGGGGATTGAGCTTAACCAGCAAAATAGTTAATCTCCCCATGTAACAATTCGGAGAGCGATACTAGGAGAGAGAGGGCAAAAAGTGGGAGAGAGGTGACTTGTATATGTATATCGGTTAGATAATTGTATATTATGCATATGTATTTTGTATCTATGGCAAGCGAGATTGAAAAGGAAGGAGAGAGGCAAGCGAGATTGGAAAGGGAGGAGAGAGGTGAGAGAGATTAGGAGAGGGAGTAGAGAGTCGAGCGAGATTGGGAGAGAGGCAAGAGAGAGCATAGAATGGAAGAAAGGTACTAAAAATTAAAAATTAAATTCATTCAAATAATGACTAGAATTTTATATTTTAGAGGTCAAATGAGAAAAAATGTAAGAAATTGTTTTAGTTTTAATCGAACTATTTTCATTTGTTATCTTAAATATTCTAGTAACTTTAAAGGAATTATCTTAATAAATTCATTAAGATATTTTCCTCGAATCAAGTAAGAATGAAATAAAGTATTTTCTCAAGGAACCTCGACTCAAGTAAATCGTATTAAAATCAATTCTTGAAAAGAAAAATAGCAAAGATGAATATACTTCCTCTATTTCAATTTGTTCGTCTTAATTTCTTTTTTAATCTATTTCTAAATGAACATTTTTTCCCTTCTGACAACTTTTTAAACATACATGTTTAAGACTATAAAATTAAAAGGAAAACTTACCTAAATACAGTATAAAAAAAAATATTTACCATCTATAGCAATAACAATTTTTTTTTCACTTATCACTTTTAATACATTTATAAATACACATTTAATTTATATTACAAGGACCAATTTATTATTCACATGTTACAACTTTTACTGATTGGTAATATACTTATCACACATCTAGTACACTTATAATACAATGTGTCAACTTCTTATCAAATAAGCATAATATATTTTTAAAAACAGTTATAATACATATATATTACATAATTAATTCACTTTTAATACATATTGCAGATTTAACATAATATTGCTATAGATGGTAATAAATGAAAAATATCACTAAAATCAATAATTATTTATTAAAAGGCACTAATTTTTCCAAATTAAAACATATTTTCCCTAAAAAGAATTAACAAATTTCTCTCTAAATTTTTCAGCCCAATTGTCCAAATAATTCCGTAGCCCAAAATATATGACCCACAAGCCCAAGCCCAAGCCCATTTGATTTAGTGTCACAAATCCAAATTCATTTCCTTAAGTCCTATTACACTCCAGTGACTCACTTCTCCGCCGTCGCTATCGCCGTCGCCGTCGTTATCGCCGCCCTGTGTTTCGTCTTGTATAATCGGATCGTAAGATGTCAGTTTCTTATTCTCCTTGCTTTCAACCTCTGAAAGTGTTCCCTACAAGTAATCGTATTCGTTCAAGCGGAGCTTTGACCTTGAATCGACGTAATGCAGTGGCGTGTATGAAAAAATCTCATGAAGATACCTCTCTTGAAGCAAAGGTATGAAGCTTTAATGTTGTTTATCGAAGTTTGTTAATTGATATAGAAGACACATTTTTTTGCCTTTTGGGTTTAGGATTATCTATGTTTAGCTCATTTATGAATGAATTGCAGTTTATTTGATTGATCAGATATAATTAGATGCATCCTGTGTTAATTATGGTATATATTTGATAAACATGGTGTGCTGGACAGCTTCTGCGCAGCTCGACTAATTCATCCGGATACTTATTAATTAGTTTAGCTTGTGTATGAATGAATTTGGAGTTTATTTTGATTCATCAGATATAATCAGGTGCATCATGTTTCAGTTGTGGTATATGTGTATAGATAAACCTGGTGTCGGCCGTCGGGGCCAGCTTTTGGGCAGCTCGACTAGTTCCACGTGATACATGTCAATTATGTTTAGCTTGTCTATGAATGAGTTTGTGGTGTATTAATATATCAGATATAATCAGGTGCGTCTTGTGTCAATTATGGTATATATATTAATAACTGTGGTGTCCTGGCGAGCTTTTGCATGTCTCGATTAGTTCCATGAGATACCTGTCAATTATGTTTAGCTTGTTTGTGAATGAATTTGTAGTTCATAAATACATCAGATATAATCAGGAGCGCGTACTGTGTCCATTATGGTGGATATTTGTTAAAAGGCTGCGGTAGTAAAATGATAGTTGAGTTCCTTGTATATCATTTTGATCTTTCTTTAAGTCTTCATAGAGGCCTAATAATTTGTTCATTGTTGAGTTGTTTGGATGCTAGTTATCAGATCATCATTATCGGGTTACACATTACCTAAGGAATCTAAATCGATAATCAAAATCAAATTTTGACTTATATCTAGTCCAATTGCTCAATTTCCCGTCTTGTATGATAGGTCTAAATTCCCAAATTTAGACTATGAAAATTCAAGATTTCATGGTTCAAGTTACTATAATAAAGAGACTTGATTTAGCCAGAACATTAGACAGCACATTCTTATTTAGAGAATGTTACAAGCTATTAGATACAGTATCTTACATGCCTGGAAAAGAAAAGCTAGCAAAAAAGATTGTGGGCTTTTCATCTGTCATTTTGATCTCTCTTGAAGTGAGTTGTTTTTCTCCATTGCACTGTGCAACTGATGGTTTATTGCTGCACTTCTGGTGATATTCAGTGTCTTGCTCTTTGGACTATACAACAACACCTTCCATTCAAAGGCTAGTTGAAATGTGTTCTATTTACTGACCTGGAAGGATGAGCATATTGTATCACCTTTCCTTTGTTTCTTGTTTTCTCTTTTCTGATAACAGTACTTCAGGTTGATTTCTTACTAGATCATGTCAAATGGGACGACAAAGGCCTTGCAGTTGCTATAGCCCAAAATGTTGATACGGGAGCAGTCTTAATGCAAGGCTTTGCAAACAGAGAGGCTTTGTCAACAACAATCTCATCACGTAAAGCAACATTTTATAGCCGGTCACGGTCATCTTTATGGACAAAGGGAGAGACCTCCAATAATTTTATCAATGTTTTCGATGTCTTTCTTGATTGTGATCGTGATTCTGTAAGTTTATAGAATCCCTTTTGATAATTAAAGTGGGCTGCCTTTGATTCCATGTGCTTTTTTACTGAAAATATAATCAAAACTACCTTTCAGATTATATATCTTGGGAAGCCTGATGGCCCAACATGTCACACGGGGTCAGAGACATGTTATTACACGCCAGTTGATGAACTCCTGAAACATCCAGAGGTTAGTCGCATCCTGTCACATTTTTTAAGTTTTTTTTCATAATCGTAATATTACCTTTTAAAAAAGTAGTTTTCAATCATCCGTTTAATGAAAAATAGCTTGGGTTTTCCATTGGAAAATGGTCTATATGAACCTGCCTAAGATGTAGTAGCTGTGCTAGGTTGAGAAAAACGAGCTGGCTTTGACGACTTTATACGCATTAGAATCTACAATCAACCAAAGGAAGGCAGAAACATCTAGCTCTTCAAATGGAAAACCCTCATGGACGAAGCGATTGTTGCTTGATGACAAATTGCTTTGCTCCAAAATTCGGTATATTGCTTGACATACTTGATCTTATCATGCTTTCCCTACTCCCTTGTAGCACATACATGTAATCTTGGGATTGATGTGTATAGTTTTCTTCTGAATTTTGTTCTTCACATCTTGCAGAGAAGAAGCTAACGAGTTATGCCAAACTTTGGAGCAAAACGAGGCTAATGGACGGACTGCCTCAGAGATGGCAGATGTCTTGTATCATGCCATGGTTTTGCTTTCTCTTAGAGGAGTAAAACTAGAGGAAGTTATGCAGGTCCTTAGACAAAGGTTTTCAAAGTCAGGCATTGAAGAAAAGAATAGTCGGAAATCCTAGGACACATATGGTATAGTAAAAACTTCTTCCTCTACCTTATTGAATGTTTGCTTTCCACCTTAGCGGAAATGATGCCGATGTCCCCTCTTAAATTTTTCATTATCACTCACTCCCCTTACCTGTGCCTAATAACAAACTTCACCCTGATCTGCTGGCATTTCTGTTGTAGTTCCTAACAAGCATTGAAAGGTTTATCCTAACTTGGTGCAACTTTTACATTCTTGTCACTCTTATTCACGAGTACTAAAACTTGTTCCTCAACACGTCCCTGCAGGGTATACAGTTGAAGAAGGCTTCATTACAGTCTACGATTGTTCTTCGTTTTCTACGAGAGAGGGGGGGAGGGGGAATACTCTAGCTCCCTAATGCTGTTAAAAGTGTATGTGTTTGTGTGGGGGTGGGGGGTCTTTGTCAATACCAACCTTATTGATGTACTGTTGCTAATGGGAACATATATGAACAACATTCTTGAGCATTTTCTTTTTAACTTATACAATCTTATCAAATGAGCGAACACTCGCTTCAAGAGCATTGTCTTTAGCTCCTATATATCTACATTGCAAATACATGAATATCTTTGATACAGGTATCCTATGTTAACATAAATACATATGTTCCTACATAACTCTCGATCCAGGCATAAATGCATAACTCGATATGGGCATTTAATACCATCAACCAAACGCTGCTATAACGCATGACAAGGCCATGAGAGAAACCACTTAACAGTACCATTTGAAATTGCAGTAAAGATAACAATGTACAAAGTACAAAAATTTGTATACACTATACTTCCAACCAAAAAAGACTAATACTCAACAAACCCGAAAATCCGACCCGACCCGACTATAAGATTTTACCTTGGAAAAAAAAAATCAACAGTAGAAATCAACATAAAAGGTAGGTGAAGGCTTCAACTCTATAGTACTTTTTGTCTATCCAGAACAATTTGTACAAACTTTAATAACTCACCAGGCGAAATAGTATGTTGTTCGTGAAAAATCATTTACAGGTCTCATTAGCATGGAACATGGAGCATAGAGTTGATAACATGCATTATAAGGCGAATGCTTGAAAGTTCCGCGGGGGTTGTGGTAGGTAGAGTCCGATGATGGTTTAGTATTTGATATACTTGCTCGAAAATAGGCCGTACGTGCAGTACAATCACCGGGTCAGTTGGATTTATGGCTGATACCACATCCCTCATCCAGGATAATTTTCGAGATGTCTCATTGGTAATATCACACGCCACCTGCTGAAGAAGTGAAAGAAGTACACCTTGACTCAACGGGAGAGGATTCATTGACAAGATACCCGACAGATCAACCTGGTAAAAGGCACAGGGAAACCATTAAGATGGATCAGGAAAAGAAAATTACTTCAAGCATGCACAGTGGCCTTGTCGCCAATGAAGCGAGAACGGCCAAGGTTCAAAATCCTGGCAGTGACAAAAGTTATGTTACTCAAACTCTTTGAAAATGATTACAAAATCCTCTTTACTTTCTTAAACTACGTGTAAAGTCATTTTGGTACATTCTACATCTCTTTAGTTTAAAACCACAAGATTCAAAATCTTCTTTACTTCCTTAAACTCCGTGTCAAGTCAAAACCATACGAACAAATTGAACCGGATGAAGTAATGAACTACGAAATCAGGACACCAAAATTTGATATGATCCATTTAGATACAAGAACTTTTTACTTGAATAAGGTTAGTTAACTAGTCAATTTGCATTTTCCAACTTTATCATTTGGACGGTTTGGAGTCCTTCCTTCTATCAGCTAGAAAGATAGAAGGTAAAACATTTGCCTAGTACAAGGAATAGCATTCAACAGCAGTACTAAAGTACCCGATATTTTAACCGTCCATAAACAAGTGATAAAGAGCAAACAGTATACCTGCAAACATAACCATGATACAATAGACACATCAGTTCTGTGCAAGGCTGTAGTGAATGCCTCCTCGTACTTGCGCTCCGCCAACAATCTTGATAACTCTTTGATTGGATCAACAGGAGCTTCAAGCTATTAAATAAGATTAAAAGATTGAAATAGAACAATAAGGATTTAAGTCTGAAAACAGAATACAAGTAGCTATCAATTATTCTATCTAGTAAAAAGTAATTTAAGGGAATAGAAAGAACCTTCTCATGCAGTAATGGTCCATTACTCATGTGGCTAACCAGTGGATTCGATAACTTGGAATTTGCTCCTGAAACTGCAAGTGTAAGCAACTTCTTTTGACCATCAGCTAGCTCTCCACTCAATGTTTGAGTCATCGATGATGCAGAATTAATGGCATCCTGAAAATTAACTCAAGTGAGTTCTTTTTTAAAGATAAGAAAAGTCAAATGCACATGCAATTCCAAAGAGAGTATAAACTATAAACTGGGCCATTATCAATGATAACAAGTATATCCAAGAAAAGTTAACTGACACTCATTGCAACAATATTCATACATACAATGGAAACAGCCTCTCGACCTTTACAAGGTAAGGGTAAGGTTAGGTACACACCACCCTCCCCAGACCCCACATGTGGATTTACACTGGGTATGTTATTGTTGTACAACGAATTATCCAATCCATTTATATCACCAGAGAGATGTGAAGAGTTACATTCACCCAGTGAAACCTTCATAAACATATACCAAAGGTAAAATCTCTTTTTACGAGTAACTACAGCTTTCAAATCTAAAATGGAAGTAACAACCAAAAGAAGATTACCACACACAATCTCATCACATCTACACTAAAAGAGTGAGTCACTAAATCTCTATACAAGCGAAATCAACATGTATCAATCAGTAACCTTGAAAGCAATGTTCATGTATTCAATAGAGCATATGCAAACCTGCTTCCAGACCCTTTTATAGAGAACACAAATATTCACACACACGCACACATAGTCACACGCACGCTCGCCCACACATGAATTAAACAGCTATTACCCTGAGCTTCAAACCAATACTCCCTCTATTAAACTTTGTTTGACTCGCTACAAAGTTTAACAAAGAAAGAAATATTTTAAAAACTTGTTGTCTTAAACATGTCATAACATTTGTGTAGCTATAAGCCTAAAGCACCTTAGAAATTTGTGGTCTCAAACATGCCATAACATTTCTGTAGCTACAAGACTATAACTATAGAAGTTGTTATATTAATTAAGGAATTATAAAACTGTGTCACTCCTTTTCTTTTTTTCTTTTTTAAATAAAGTAAAGTTGTATTCCTCAGCATACCCAATGAGGGTATGCTGGCAACCATCAAAAAGATTTACATCAGTGACCCAAAAAAAAAAACTCAAAAAATTGCTACTAAACTAATAAGGAAGAGAAAAAGTTTAAAATCTGTCTAGCATCCTCTGTACCCTCCAAAATTACACCAAAAACAGAAGGTCTTCATACGCCATTTGATCTTTATAGTAGACCATATACAAGAGGATATCATGTTCCACCATTTCTTCTGGCTCTTACTCCCCACTCTTCTCACCCAGCAACTGAGAAGGTCTGCAGTGTGTTTTGTGTGTGTTCTGCTTAGAAAAATGGCCCATAATTGAGCAGTGTCTTTGCAATGGAGGAATAGATGGCTATTAGTCTCATTTGTCTCATTACACAGTGAACACCAGGAGGCTATTTCAAAGCCTCTTCTCTGCAGCTTCTCATGAGTTAGGCATGCGCTTCTAGCCACTAGCCATGAGAAGCACCTCACTTTAGTTGGCACTTTATTTTTCCATACCTTACTCCATGGTCCAGAGATTTCCCCTGGAAGTTCCTTCACTTTCCTATTGTACAATCTGTTTACTGCCAACATACCATCATGATTGTGTTTCCAAATCATTACATCAACTTCCAGATTTGTGCCCTTGAAATCATCCAGCGTTTGTATCATCTCGGCTACTCTGCCTATCTCCCAGTCATTTAGTAACCTTCTGAAGCTGAAATTCCACCCTTGTTCAGACCATACCTCATTTACCATTGCATCTGGAGACGAGCTCAGGATATATATGTCCGGATAGGAAAGACATCAAGGAGTCCTGACCAATCCAGTGATCTTTCCAGAAAAGAACCCTGGTCCCATTCCCCACTTTGTATCTAATACGGTGTTGTAGTTGGCCCCATAAATTTCTGATAGTTCTCCACACCGAGACACCATACGGGATATTCACCATATCGAAAACCCATGGGCTATTCTGGCCGTACTTGTTACTGATGACTTCCTTCCAAAGTGCTTGATCCTCTCTTCTGAACCTCCACAACCATTTTGCTAACAAGCACTTGTTTTGTAGCCCCATGTTTCTGATCCCTAATCCTCCTGAGCTCCTACTCAGCAAAGCAGTTTGCCATTTGACAAGATGTATTCTTTTACCTTCCTTGATTCCCGACCAAAGAAAATCCCTCCTTAATTTATCAAGTCTTTCTTCCATTTTGACCGGCATAGGGAATAGGGACATCACATAGGTAGGTAAAGAATCTAGTACAGAGTTTATCAAAATGGTTCTCCCACCGAACGATAGATATTGATATTTCCAGTTTGCCTTCTTCTCAGTTTTTTCAATTATACCATCCCATATCATTAGCTCTTTATGGTTGTTTCCAAGTGGCATACCTAGGTAAACAGTTAGAAGTTTCTCTATTCTGCACCCTAAAATGTTTGCTAAGGCCTGGATCAGTGTAACCTCTTTGATGGGATATATACAACTCTTCCTCCAGTTGACTAAGCCTGAGACCGCCTCAAAGACTACCAATATCATTCTGACAATTCTGATTTTTTCCTCCTTAGCTTCACAAAATATGACGGTGTCGTCAGCATAAAGCAAATGACAAATCTGCATATCCACCCCTGAGAGATTGCCTACTTTGAATCCTTGCAACAGTGAGTTTTGAGTAGCCACCCTCATCATACTATCGAATCCTTCCATGGCTATGATGAAAAGGAAAGGGGACAAAGGGTCTCCCTGTCAGAGACCTCTTTCTGAGGGAAAGACTAGTAGGTTCTCCATTCAACCTAGTCGTTTTTATACAAACCTCAATCCATCTCAACCATCTCTCACCAAACCCCATTAGTTTTAACATATTGAGCAAAAAACTCCCAGTTGACATGATCATATGCCTTCTCAATGTCTAGCTTGCACACAACTCCAGAGTCAGCTAGTATCCCCTCTGTGTCATTCCTTTTGGAATGGACTAACAAGGAAAAGTGCCAAACAAAATGGAACGGAAGGAGTGGAAAGGATGGTCTAATAGGAAGGAATAAGATAGTAGCTAAGTTGATGGAGCAACAAAATATATGATAATCAGCACAAAAAAATCCACATAGGTTGTGGAAGGAGTACATCACTGGCCACTAATAACTCTCCATTCCAGAGCATAATATAACGCAAGTTAGATATATTGAAAAAGGAAGGAATTGTCCTACCCGAAATTAGCAAGAAAACAGAAGGGTAGTAATAAAACCACTGCTCAGAAGCCATACCCTTAAAGCATGTACTAACGGTGAATGCATGGACTCAAATTGCTGTAGAGCGG